GGGGTGGGAATGGCTCAGTTTCCCGGGAATGCTGGGGTGGGAATGGCTCAGTTTCCCGGGAATGCTGGGGTGGGAATGGCTCAGTTTCCCAGGAATGTGTCACTTTCCTGGGAATCTCTCCATTTCCCGGGAATATCTCAGTATCCCAGGAATCTCTCCATTTCCAGGGAACCTCTCCGTTTCCCGGGAACGCGGGGTGGGATGGTTCAGTATCCCGGGATTCTCCCTGTTTCCCAGGAACACCGGGAGCAGGAATCTCTCCGTTTCCCAGGACTCCCCGATTCCCGGGACTCTCCTGATTCCCGGGACTCCCCCGTTCCCCGGGGCTCCCCCGACTCCCAGGACTCCCCGATTCCCGGGACTCCCCTGATTCCCGGGACTCCCCCGATTCCCAGGACTCCCCGATTCCCGGGACTCCCCCGATTCCCGGGACTCCCCCGTTTCCCAGGACTCCCCGATTCCCAGGACTCCCCCGATTCCCGGGACTCCCCCGATTCCCAGGACTCCCCCGATTCCCGGGACTCCCCCGATTCCCAGGACTCCCCCATTCCCCAGGACTCCCCCAATTCCCAGGACTCCCCCGATTCCCGGGACTCCCCCGACTCCCGGGACTCCCCTGATTCCCAGGACTCCCCCAATTCCCAGGACTCCCCCGATTCCCATGACTCCCCGATTCCCAGGACTCCCCCGATTCCCGGGATTCCCCGATTCCCGGGACTCTCCCGTTCCCCAGGATTCTCCCCATTTCCCGGAATGCCCCCGACTCCCGGGACTCCCCCGATTCCCAGGACTCCCCGATTCCCAGGACTCCCCCGATTCCCGGGACTCCCCCGATTCCTGGGGCTCCCCGACTCCCAGGACTCCCCGATTCCCAGGACTCCCTGATTCCCAGGACTCCCCGATTCCCGGGAATGCTCACGCCGGAGGCCGGCGGCGGCGCGCGGCGGGGGCAGGTGCTGGATGAGCCGCGTGCCCCCGAACAGGACGTGCAGCCGCCCGTCCCGGCCCAGCTCCAGCTCCCGCTCCGGGCTCAGCCCCTCCACCGGCTCCTGCGGACGGAAACGCGGAATGCCCTGGGAATGGGGCACGGGATTCCCGGGGCACGGGATTCCCTGGGAACGGGGCACGGGATTCCCGGGGCACGGGATTCCCTGGGAATGGGATTCCCTGGGAACGGGGCACGGGATTCCCTGGGAACGGGATTCCCTGGGAACGGGGC